CTATCAATAATGCCTTTAACATAAATGTCCCTACCATAAATGCCCCTATCATAAATACCCCCATCATAAATGCCCTTATCGTAAATGCCCTACCATAAATGCCCTTACTTTAAATGCCCCTATTATATAGGTCCCCATCATAAATGCCTATATCAGAAATGGCCCTTACCATAGATACCCCGACCATAAATGCCTCTAATATAAACGTCCCTAACATGAATGCCCCTGTCATAAATGCCCTTATCAAAAACGCCCCTAACATAAATGTCCCGATCGTGAATGCCCATATCATGAATGCCCTTATCATGAATGCCCATATCATAAATGCCCTTATCATAAATGCGCCTATCATAAATGCCCTTATCATAAATGCTCTACCAAAAATGGACTTACTTTAAATACCCCTATCATAATTGCCCCCATCATAAACGCCCATATCAAAAATGGCCCTAACAATAAATGCCCCTATCATAAATGCCCTTATCATAAATGCTCTACCAAAAATGGACTTACTTTAAATAGCCCTAGTATAAATGCCCTTACCATGATTGCCCCTACCATAAATGCCCCTATCATAAATGCCCTTATCATTAATGCCTGTATCATAAATGACCATACCATAAATGCCCCTATCATAAATGCCCTTATCGTAAATGCACCTACCATAAATGCTCCTATCATAAATGCCCATATCATACATGCACCTACCATAAATGCCCCTATCATAAATGCCCTTATCATAAATGGCCCTTACCATAGTTGACCCTACCATAAATGCCCCTATCATTAATGCTCTTTTTGTAAATGCTCTACCAAAAATGCCCTTGCTTTGAATACCCCTATCATAAATGCCACCATCATATGCGCCCATATCAGAAATAGCCCTAGTATAAATGCCCTTCCCATGATTGCCCTTATCATAAATGCCCCTATCATAAATGCCCATATCATAAATGGCCCTTACCATAAATGACCCTACCATAAATGCCCCTATCATAAATGCCCCTAACATAAGTGTCCGATGATAAATGTCCGATGATAAATGTCCCTATCATGAATGACCCTATCATAAATGCCCTTTACATAAATGGCCCTTACCATAAATGACCCTAACATAAATGCCCCTATCATAAATACTCTACCAAAAATGGACTTACTTTAAATACCCCTATCATAA